CCGACTGAGCTAACCGGGCACCCTATATCTACACACTTTCATAAATTTTCCTTCGTTATTCATATTTTTCCCTTTTAGTTCTCTGTAGTGAAATGTTCGGCCGCTGTTCTAGTCAAGTTTTTATCCCCCAGCCTTTAAGTATTATGACTGCTAATTACATTCAATTCCAACAGTTATCTAAAAGAAATGATCCTCTTGAAGCAGACGCTCATTAACATTACTGCGCCTGGAGTACTTTTCATTAAAACTTGTTGGATGCAGGACGTGTGAATATTATCAACGGCATAACAGTGGATGATAACAATCAGCCAATTACAAAATGACCAGAGGTTAGAGCAAAAGGTGAGAAAACAATATGAATCATTGTGGGAGAAAAATTGTGGGAGACTTAAAGCAGGGAAGAAATGGCAGGGAAGCAAAGGCTCCGTTTAGTATAGCAGAGCATTTCCACATCTATACTCTGTTTGACCTGAAGGAAAAAAAAAGTGAGTACAGTTTTCTTCTAACTGTAACGTTAATTTGCACATGCAAAAAACTAAAATTTTCCAGGACAGCATGCAGGATATCCAGGATATTTTAATCAATTTCCAGGTGTTTCTATGACTGGAAAACTAGTCTCTAGATTTTCAGGTTTTCCAGATTTTCCAGGACAGCTAATTTCAGATATTTTTGAACCTTACATACCTCCCCCCATCCCCATAAAAACATACTTTTCTCTATGAATGCACACATAATTTAATGCACTTAGACTGAGTGAGGGCAAGAGCCCAGCAGTAACACATGGCGCTCACAACACGGCCCTACCTGTGTGCGCGTGTGCTGTACAACGTATATAGTGTTTGATTTTCATACAGAGAAAGGGAGCAGGCTTCAGTCACCTACCGTGACAGCTGGGGGAACAGCTTGGCTGTAGGAAGCCTCTCTGCACCCCCCCTCCGCTGCGTGTTTGTGTCTCTCAGTGAGAACAGGATGTAGAAAGATTCACCCAGCTGAGAAACAACAACAGCTTCTATTCCTCCGCCCGAATCAGTCGCTTTCCTCCACTTCACAGCTTACTTACTGGGTGCATATTGTAGAGAAGCAGACATATGCACCAGCATCCACGTGTCCTCAGGTAGTGGGGCTAACATGGTACAGGCGACACCGTGGCGCGCTGACAATCACCATTTAAAGCTCATTTGTTGCTGCAGTTAACATTCATAATCAAGTCTTCCACAGCTGCTGTGTTTGCATCTCTGATAATTACTATAATTAACAGCTTTCAGGCACAATGTCTGAACTGAGTATAATAGATGTAAATTGTATAAATTAGCTTTCCAATTAGCTCCATTTTTCCACAGACTAGATTCTTCCTTTTCTTTAAGATTTTTAATGTTATTATAACTACCGTGGTCATATTCTGTCTTTATTATTCAATGGTATACTGTGAATATGCCTCTTGTATTTTTATATTGATATAAATTGTTCAGGCTATTGTTTAGTTCATTTCTAAATTTTATTTATCTGATTTTATTTTTAACTTCTCTGTGAAGGCACAGAATAAGGTTTCAGCAGGTTTTTAAGAACTATTTCACGTCCATACTGGCAAAAACATTACAAAGTATATGAAGGAGATCGGTACTTGTTCCATATCGGTTTGTTTTGTAGTTGTTTGTGAGTGTGAGCAATACTAATTTTTCCCAAAAATATATTTTAAAGCGAAACTGAAAAATGCAACTTTATAAAAGTAATGTTAACTTCATTAATCCAATACATTTCTAAAGCCATTTCTTGGGCTTTTTATTATATTATGAGCCTTTATTTTTAAGACATTTTAAGACATTTACTTTATTTTTATAGTTTTTGGTATGTTTACTTGTAGGTAGGTATATATGTAGTGGTGGGGAAAAGGAGATGTACTGTTCAAGATTTGCACAATAAAAACAAAACATTTAAAGACTAAATTAAGACTAAGATTCAGATATTAGACTACATAAGACACCGCCAACACCCAGACCGTCCAGTAGGAACCAGGCACATCAGTGCTGATGGTCTGGTTGATGAAGCAGCAGCAGGAGCATTCTACCGGCCTTACATAACCATAATCATACATCGCAGATCTTTGCTGCAGCCTCTATAACACCCCCTGCTATGCAGCACAGCCCCTCTGAGCTGCCATTCATCAATTGGCTAGGTGCAACAGGGGAGACATTTATCTTCTGCTGAGATGTGAGGGAAGCAGAGTACCACGGGGAGCGAGAGGTGGGGTGTTTATAGTGCTTTTGGTTCTCACCGGCAGAGGTTTGCTTGAACTTTTCACTCTTCTTCTTCCTCCACTTCCAGGGTTTAAACAGACGTCCCAGGGTGGCGAACTTGCTCCGCCGCCGAATGGGAGGCGTGTGCGTGCCTGGAACCAGCGAATCAGAGCGCATCGCTGCCAACCTCTCCACTTCCTCAGCTGGAAAACAACAGCAACAACAACAAGGTCATTAAACAGCAGGCACACAACACCTACAAAAATATGTTTCTGACTTGTTTAATGGTAATGTTTCTTTTACCCATACCAGAACTAAAATAGATGCAGATGCAATAGAAACAGGGTACAACGCTGCTATGATTAGCTAATTAAAGTTGCAATAAGTGATATTTTTTCTTACAATAAGTGTTAAAAGCTCTACATTCTCACAGTCAGCAGTAATATAAGAGGATTCAGTCAGTAAAATGGGTCTCCCAGTTCGTCCTTTCTGCAGTAAATCGAATACATTTCCTGGTATCTCGTCATCCAATCAGGAGAGAGAACGCCACAAAGAGGCGGTCCTCAAGGAGAGCCAGCTGAATTTAGGCGTGGTAATGTATGAAGGAGGGAGGAGACTGCTAACTGCAAGAACGGACAGGAAGTTAGCCGAACTCTCTCAAACTTCAGGATTTAATTGCTTTTCTCTCTTCTATATCATTTGTGAACTGAACATGTTTGGGTTATGGACAAAAAAACCAAACATCTAAAGTAATTGTGACTATCAGTAAAGGACCTTTAATAAATAATGAAAATAATCTCTACAAGTAAAATCATTTTAAATGTACAGCCTGGGGGTAAGATAATACCCACGCTGATGTAAAATATGACTCGCAAAAGGGAGCTCAAGATAACTTGTAAGTCCGGTAGAAAGTAAAAAATTATCATATTACTGTAATACCTGGATAACAGATGATCACTTGTCTGAGATTGAAATGTCAGGGGACGCAACCTCGAAGGGGCCGCTGCATAATCAAGTCAGGAAAAGCTCATTTGGTTCGCAGTTAATCACAGTTAGACAAGTGGGGGGGGGGGATTTAAAGAAAGACCTCAGGAGGGGCCCGACAAGATTTTTTACAGAATTTAACATGGATGGGAACAGAGAGCATAAACAGACTGTAAACAAGAGGTGCTGCAGAGAATATCCACGACAAACACAAATATCACAATCACAGTGATCACAGTCGCTCCCTCCTCCACTTTTCCCATTCACTGACTCTGTATGGGGAGCTGTTTGCATGTAATGATGCTGGAGGCTGTTCTATACAGCAGAGTGGCAGTTTTTCATTTCAAATTACACCTTTTCCCATTACACACAACATCCTGTATGAGTATGAGGCAGGCTCTGTGGAGCGAGGGCATGAGGCCTGAGCCAGAGGCGACGAATAAAACAAAAAGGAAACCAACACTTTAGCAGGCGGTAGTGGATGTAAACACACTGATACACGTATTTACACAGATATACTTCAGAGGGATAGAAAACGGGGAAATATGTGCGAGCAGATCAGAGTTGCCTACTTTCATGTGAGAGAAAAGTCAACAAGCAGAGAATATTCTAACCACAATGTCCATAAAGAACGCAGCCTGACTCGTGCACAATACAATGGAAACAGTATGACTGCGTTCACACTGCAGACCGTAGCGCTCAATTCTGAATTATAGCTCAGATGTGGACCATATGAAAAGTGGCCCCAATCAGAATTGAAAAGATCTGAGTCAGTGTGATTTGTGCTGCTCACACGGTCATGAAAAAACCCCACAAACAGCACACAGTACTCGTCGGCATCTAGCTACCGATATATTGGGGCTACTGTAGGTTTACTATGTGCAATTTATGTGCATGTCCTGGCATAGCAATGACATTTTCTCCAACATTAACTAGTAGTCTGTTTAGATTTGTAAATTTCTCAGATCATGTGGGGGCGGAGTTATCATTATGAAACCGTAGACGTTTTACTAAAGCAACAACAAATAAAATGTGTATTTTTGTTGTTTTAATAAGTATTGGTGAGTCTTTTGGTTCAAAATGGAGCTGCACAACATGGTAAATGAAATATTATTGCGATTTATTTTTGCATCTAAATCTAAATTTTCAGTCTGTAGCACCAAAGAAACATGTTTCCTTACATCTGGAGAATAAGATTTGCACCTTCATTATAATGATGTTCTGTCACACATTTTACCTTCAGCAAATAAATTAGATAATTGTTAGTTAGAGTTCTCAGTCTGTCACCCTGGCTGCAGGCTCGGCTCGCACTCGGCATCCCAAAGAAAGATGTTAAACTGGATATGTGGAAGTACTTTGGATTCCAAACTAAATCAGAGAGATGAGATGCAATAAAATTTCCTAATTAAATGTAAAGTGATTCTAGTACGTCTTTTTTATGATAATCGCGATAAAGAATCATTTGGGCCGGGATAATCGTAATGTGACATGAAATTTTCATATCGTCCTATGCCTAGATTGCACTTGGCCATATTGTGATCTTGTTAGTATGTCGATTAAATGTTAGTTCAAAATAAAATCTGGTTGCTTATATTTAGGATGA